GACATCAACTTTCATTAGTTAATAATTTAATTATTGTGGATGGACTGCTGTAGCCACGATCCAAAATAAGGGAAAATCCAACCCTTTATTTTTTACCATAAAATCAAGATACTGTGTGCGAATATATGTTAATCCAATAATAAAAAATACTACAATATATTCAACTATTTGTAGAACCCTCCAAAAAAGTAAAAGTTGAGGAGGTTTAGCAATAAGATAAGTGGTGGTATTTAATTGGCCAAAAAGAAAAAGTAAATGAAATCGCTCCGTTCAAACTTCAATCCTCTAACTCCATATCTTCAGATATTTTTACTTTTTTTACCCCAAATTATTACATTAAGAATGGATGATAGAGAAGTGTGAATCCTTAAATATATATATGATACATAATATACATATATATGAGACACAGAACAATCCAATTTTGAACTTCCGCCTTGTTATGCGACTGAACAAATTCACGTAAATTATTCCAATCCGATGACCAAATACGGAGTCCTGCTGGGCTTGATTCCACCATTGGGCCCACACCGGAGCTCGTAAAGACGGAGCTTTGCTGGGCCTGATTCCATCTCCGGGCCCACACCGGAGCTCGTAATCACAGTCAGCAAATCGACGNACCCGGTCGATGGATTATGCTCGGAAAGGGTCGCCGCCGCCGTTTTTGGTGAAGACTTATATGGTGGTGGAGGACCCGTTGACCGACCACGTGGTGTCGTGGAATGGTGACGGGACAGGTTTTGTGGTCTGGCAGCCGGCGGAGTTTGCCCGGGACTTGCTGCCCACACTCTTCAAGCACTCAAATTTCTCCAGCTTTGTCCGCCAGCTCAACACATACGTAAGCATAATATGATTTTATTATTATTATTATTATTATTATTATTTCTATTTTACCATAGATAAATCGATAGATTTGTTGTGGTATTTCTAGTTTAGTGGATTGTGATCGAGCTGAGAGATGTAGATGAGTCGAGTCGAGCCGAGCTCGAAGTTTTGACCCTCGAATTAGGGGTCGAACATTTATCGGCTCGGCTCTAGAGACATAGACGAGTCGAGCTGAGCTCGAGATTCTGACGCCCGAATTAGGGATTGAACATTTATCGGCCCGGCTCTGGAGATGTAGACGAGTCGAGCCAAGCTAGAGGTTCATACGCTCGAATTAAGGGTTGATCATTTATCGGGTCAAATCTGGAGATGTGTAGACGAGCCGAGCAGAGCTCGAGGTTCTGACCCTCAAATTAGGGATCAAGCATTTGTTGGCTCGGCTCTGGAGATGTAGATGAATCGATCCGAGCTAGAGGTTTTGACCCTAGAATTAGGGGTTGAACACAAGCTTGGCTTGTCCAGATAAACGTGTTTGGGATCGATTCATTTATCGGAATTACTGGATCGCGCGAGCTAAAATATTCGGTTAAAGAAATTATGTGAAATTCTTATTTGTCGAGTCTACCGAGACTAATGTAAGTACTGAACGAGTTGTTAAACGAGTCCGAGTTTGTCTCGTTTGAGCCAAGCCGAGCATATGAGTTTGAGAGAGTTAAAAGTAGTTTTTATTGGAAATTAGTTAATTAGTAGATGTTCTATAGTTTTTATTGAAATCAAATAGTTTTGGCTGAAAATATAAATTTCAACCAAAATTTTAATGATGATATGCAATATGATGAGAAAATTTTGAAAATAGTCTCGTAACTTTGAAGACAAATTAAAAGTAGTCTTATTGGAATTTAATTTATTAAACAATAGTGATTTCGAGATTTTTAAAATCTCTAATTTGGAAATAATATTTGCCGATAGAAGTTTTTAATGAGTCACATTCACACGGCTCATCAATTCAACTACTTAAATAATACTTGAAGAATTACAACACTTTTCTTATAATTTCCCACAAATTGCGTGAGCGTGATTGTCACTTATAGGATTCACCACGAGTTCACTCCATTGGGTCATTTTTTACCATGGCCTTAATCATCACTTTTATAGGAAACCCATGATATGGAGTTTGAATTTTGATTTTTTGTAGCTCGTGTTCAAAAAAAGTTATGATTAGTATTGAATTACCTTATGAGATATTTCACCTGGTTTTTCCTAAATTTAAAGTAGGTAAAAATTCCCTTATAAATTTTGATCTCAGGTGATTGAGTCTATTCAACTCACTGTCTGCAAGATTTGAAAATAAAAATAAAAAATAAAAACAAATATTGTATTTAAAGTTGTTTGTTGTTTTCTTTTCGAGACTATTGAATATTGATCATGTGCAATGTGTGAGTAACTAATTCGAAAAACTCGACCCGGTTAGGCACTGCTTTCGTCAATTTTTTATTTTTATTTATTTTTTATTTATTTTAATCTTTGATCAACACATACCATGTGGGTATGTGTGTGTGGCTCAATGATAAAAAATCCCCCGAAATTATGTAATCAGCATTAGGATAGGATATGATCTTACAAGCTAGAACAATCCGTATGTATACGCAAGTATAACTAATTTTATTTATTTAGTTATGATAGAAAGTACTAAAGATCAATATTTAATCAGAATATAGAATTCTTTCTAATAGTTAATTCTTAACCAGTCCAAAGAAAATTGATGACAAAACTAAGAAACAGTATAATGTATGCTTTTAAATAAATCATATGCCTGTTGATCTTGGTTTAAAAAAATTGCCGACAACACTAAAAAACATTAATTTATGCTCTTAAACAAATCGTATGCTTTTTAATCTTGGTTAAAAAAACTGCCTATTCATAAGTAAGTCATGACCTAATTAGGAAAAGGTATATGCTGTTTATTATGACCGTTGATCTTTTTTGGGTGCCAACACATTTTGTATGTTCTTTAAGCTTTTGGCAAACAATCCCTAGGGTTAGAAATTTAACACCACATAAGTCAAAATGGAATAAAAATCACACTTTAACAATCACATGCTTGATTGACTGAAAAAAAAATATACATATTTCAACACGTATTTTGCTGGCCATATTGTGTTAATTAGTAAAATTGTCTTCATGCATAAAGTCAAAACCTATACGTAAAATCGTATAGAATATTGATTTGTGAACTATGCACATATTTGTGAACCTATACATATTGATTTGTCATCATGAAGTGACCTATTGTTCTTTCATGTGCTTCAATAGTGTAGCGTACATCTATTTCACAACATTTTTACCAACATGTTTTTATGATCTTCAAATTTTGTATTAATAAGTTGAATTAATTCTCTCTCCATAATAGGGTTTTCACAAAGTGGCCGCTAACCGTTGGGAATTTAGCAACAAATTGTTCCGGCGAGGCGAACGGGACAAACTCCGGGAGATTTGCCGAAAAAAAGCGACGTATAGTAAGCCGCAACTTAGGCTGAGTTCCGAGCTAGCCGACGAGCCGCGAACTTTGTCAGCATCGTCAGAAGTAGTCGAAAACCTAATTTGCGAGAACAAGAGGCTTCGAAGGGAGAACAACATTTTGAGCTCCGAGCTTGCCGCCATGAAGAACAAATTCGAGGAGCTTTTGGATTTAGCGACGGTCTATGGCGGGAGTTTGGACAAACAAGAAACGGATAAAAACGGGCCCAAGATTTTTGGTGTAAGATTGGGGGTTTTGAGAGGAGAAAGAGAAAAGTGATATTTTGGTAGAAACAAAAGTTCTTCATATGAGTCTAAAAATCAAAGTGATTCTCATATTTGAAGTAGAAGAAACCAAACTTAAGTTTTTAGGGTTCTAAAGAGAGGGTTATAGTCGTGGTAAAAATCAAATTGTAGTGTTTGTATACGTCCATGTTTGATGATTATCAATAATGATATTCATAGATGGGCAAATTATGAGTAGGCTCGTTAAAGCTCGAACTTCGCTTGTTATTAGTGATAAACGAGCCGAGTTCGAGTTCGATTTTAGGCTCGTTTATTTAACGAACTGAGCTACGCTCGACTTGTTAGGAGCTCAAACATCCTAAGCTCGAGCTCGGCTCGTTTACATGTCTAGTTGCAATGAGAAACTATACCGGGAATAGACTATAACACTATAGTAAGACATATAATATTATATATCTAACAAATGTTTTGGTAACTTAACTAAATTTCAATGTCACTATGTACATACCAGTCACTCCAATGTTTATTTTTGAATAGCAAATGCAACTTTTTAAATGAGAAATGTATGACTAGAATTCCTATGTAATTACCTAATTCAGTTAAAACTTTGGATGAAAACGAATCACATGAATCGTGGGATCTATTATGATGATCATGACAAGAAAATCTTTAACCTTTTTCCAAGTTGACACGTCTTACCTAGTTAATCTTGTCACGAGATTCTTAAGTGCTAAAGTTAATCGAGATTAATCTTATCTAACAATCGAGATGATATGAGCTACCGTACAAAAGTTCTTCACCACGAGCTGTTCACTGAGCTAATTCGTGATACCACATCAAATACGAATATTCAATTTAATTGAATACCTTTCCAAGTTTAAAAGGAAAATTTTATAAAATAAAAGTGTGTATATAGAAATTGTTAAGTGTTTGAGCCCAAATTAGTTATAGCTTTCAAGCCCAAACTGGACCCAAACATACAGTGTGAATACTCGGCTCAATAACCAGCATCTAAGCACAGCCCCAAATTCACTACCGCAGCCCAATACACCAACGACGCGCCAGCGCCCACTGTGAGCCGTAGCTTTCGCCTCCGCCACCGTCCTCCGTGCTCTCTCCGCCCGCGAGCCTACCACTCGAGGTAAAGTTAGCTTAGCCCAGATAAATATCAAAAACCCAATTCGACTTGAGGCTTGATTTTGCAGCTGATTGTGATTTGTTTGGCTCTGTCCTTGTTTCTTTCTTTTTTCTGTTCATATTATAGCTCAGTTGGTAAAGCAATATTTTCTTCTTGAATTGTTTTATCTTGATCCGATTTAAAGGGCTCCCATGTGAATATACTGTCTGTAATTATCTGATGTTGTACAGAATCATGAAACGCTTGAAGTTTCACATTAATGTGCTTTCATCTGTGACTAATGGAGCTAAGTCCCTTGCTATTTTGGTTTATAGAAGATATGTTAAACGTTATATTATGAGGAAGGGGATGAAATTCAGTTTTTGATTCGTCTATGTGCTGTTTCGTTGTGAAGATCGATTCAATTTTTCGTGTAGGAGAAAGAAAATACTGCAACAAAAAATGGCTGCTACGGGTGAAATGAATGATTTGTCATCAGAAATGGAGGTGGATGCTTTTAGACGTCTTTTTCCTTTACGGTTTCACGAGCGTCACCTTGTTGAGTCAATTAGGCCCGACGGTCGGCCTCTTGATAGAGCTCGAAACACGACACTCGTGCTAGGTTAGTCAATTTATCACTCATTCTTTTTATCATGCTGCCTTTTGAAAAATTCGTGCCCTTGCTCAAAATTTATGTTCCGAAATCCAGGAGCTGTAGCATCTGCTAATGGATCAGCACTAGCGAAGATAGGTTGCACCGTAAGCGTGTATTTTTGTTATTTCTATCGTCAATGCTAGTCATTTATTTATTTCCTGTAATTTTCTCGATTATTTTGTCGTCTGTGTGAAGTAATTGAATGTTTTCCTGCTCAGACCATGTTAGCTGCCATTAAAATGGAAGTCATGACACCAACTGTGGAGGCACCGAATGAAGGTTGCATAGGTTAGTTGTTGACTCTAATAGCTTTTCACATTTTTTTCATTTTCTTTTTTTTTTTTTTTTTGGTAATGGTGTTGGGTGATATTTTTTCAGCCATTGATTTCCACATGCCCCCCATTTGTTCTCCACTCGTTCGCCCTGGCAGGCCGGCAGAAATAGCTCCCGTATTAGCTAAACAGTTATTGGACTCCATTTTGAGGCAAGTAAATTGCACGACTGTTTTTGTACTTGTTATTTAAACATTTTAGGGTTTCGAATGTTTTTTGTATCCTTGTGGAATGACTACAAGCAGAGGCAACCTTTATAACATTGCTGTGTATGATGGTCGGAAATCTTGAAAAGCAATTTTCTAGCATGGCCAGCTATTTGTTATTCAGACTGTAACTGTTATTTTTTCAGAATTCCTTTAGCTTGAAGCATAGGTGCCTAAATAAAGAGAATAAAAGAAAGATCATAATTAGAATCTGCTTAAAATCAGGCAGCACTTCCTAACATGAACTTCTTGTGGAAATGTGGCTTTTTAGTACAGTATTCGATATGTTTTTCATCCAAATAAAAATCATTTTGCTGTAGACAATGAGTTGCAGCTCGTATATTATCATGCAGCAAAGCAAAACAGTTATTTGTCATCATTTTTCCTCTGTTTTCATTTCCTCTAACTGTGGATGTATCATTCAGTAGTTTCCTTGGATATAAATATAATTGTCCCACTTTAGAGCATAATAATAAATATTTCTCCCAACAATTTATGTCTCACCCTTAACTATATTTATTCTATATATACTCTTAATTAGTTAATCTTTTGTCTTTTATGCAGTTCTGGCATGATTGATCTGAAAGAATTATGTTTGGTGAATGGCAAAGCTGCTTGGATGGCATACTTGGTAAATAGTTTCGATATTTCGAGTCCTCTTTACTGATGGGATTTAATTTAGTAACCTTTCTCACTGTAAAAAATGTTTGCAGGACATATACTGTTTGGATGCTGACGGTGCCCTTTTTGATGCAGCTTTGCTTTCTGCAGTGGCAGCCTTCTCGCATCGTAAGTTTGTAAAGGGTTCTCGGTTTTTGCTAGATTTTGGTGTAGGATAATAGTAGTATAAATTGTATTTAGTCTTTGTTTACTTTCTACTGCAATTGAGGTTCAATAAAATTTACGTATTTAAGATTGGACTGAATTTACGTATAAACTCAATTATATTGCAGTGCAAATCCCGATAGTCTCTCTCAACGATGACGGTCGAGTTGTTCTTGTATCCGAGGACAGCAAAGGAAGAGCCAATAAAGAGAAGAGAAAGCTCAATCTGAATGCGGTACCATTTGCACTAACATGTGTACTTTACAAGGACTACATTCTGGCGGACCCCACCTCTGAGGAAGAGTCGATTATGGAGACATGTCTGACCGTGGTACTCGACTCATCTTTTCAGCTCGTTTCGTTTAATAAACCTGGTGGGCCCGGTCTTGCACATACATCAGCAATCCAGGTGAATTTTTGCTTCTATTTATTTTCTTTTTTTCTTAAAATCCTTCTATGCTGAAGTTAAACACTTATATCTGATAATCAGTCGAAAATAAGGTNGAAAAAAAAAAAAAAAAAATTCATCTTTCAAAGTTACGAATACCGAGGTTTTGCAAATAACCGGTTGAGGTATTTATTTTCTTTATTAATTCATGTCTCGAAAATGGTTTGTACTTATAAGGAATCCGTGACATGCGTGCAGGACTGCATATCGTTAACGAGACAACGAGTGAAAGAACTTCAGAAGGTTCTGAATGAAGCAATCTCTGATGTGGAAGTCGACTGAGAAATTTTGTGCTGACTAACAGATATTAGTCGTTTCGTTAGAGCTTTTAATCGTTTGTTTTTGTTTATTTGATTTTCTCGTCTCCTTAAGTTTCTTTAGTACACTACTCGTAGAAAAAATTGAAGTGCCCCGCCCATATAGGTTAGCTTTTTGTTTGTCAAGTTTTGGTTTTCATTTTGTCTTTTCAGCTTATGTATTTGGCTATTTGCTGGAAAATGTTGTCAAGTGCCTAGTTGTAAGACTATGAATAGCATTGTGAGTGATTTTTCTTTCATCTTGATTTCAATTTGTTATAACGTATAAAGTAATAGTTACAATAATGAAAGAATACTACAGAAAAAAATGTTTCAATAATAATAATAATAATAATATTGTTAGATAGAGTTATATCAATTTTTCCATGGTACGAGATTTATGCGAGTACATGTAAACTTTTTTACAGTTTATGCAATTTGATACAAAAATAAATAAATAAATAAATAATTGTATACTCATAATAAAATATTTTGAGTATAATATTGTTTCACAAATAATATTATATCTCATCTCATTGTTTCTATAAAATTTCCACGGACGCGATAAAAAATAATAAACAAAAATCATTACTACTTGTATGGTTATTTTTCATATTAACGAGTTTATTATTATGTGTAGAATTTCTTATTCTAATAAAAACACTTTATCAATTCTCATATATCCAACTATAAATATTTAATTATTTTTGGTTTACACCAATTTTAATCATTATATTTATATCTCATTTCATTTAATCAAACTTTTCCACGTCCTCTTTTATTTTCTAGCAACACACAATTAATTGTTCGACAAAAAAAAAGTTATTTATCGAATCTCATTGAATTTTCAAGTTTATTTGGGCCGGGCCCCAACAATTTAGCCCAAATCTCAGCCTGACCCAATAGAACAATAGGTGATACATCATACATGCGTCATGATAGGGTGCTAGGGAAATCTACTTCAGTGCGATACGCGAAAACCGTTAAAATATTTTTTTTTAAAAAGTGAAAAATCGAAATCTGAAAACTCCCGCTATAGTTCAAAATCTCGAAAAGCTATGGCTTCAAAAACAGTGGAAGCTTCATTTCCTTCAAACCTCGAACGCACGGTGGCCTCCGCGCTTCTCCTCCTCTCCAGGTGAGATAGCGAGCTCCTTCATGACGAACTCAGATCCTTTTTTTAGTTCTTCATTTTGTTTTTTCAATCGCCGTTATGTTTGGAGTCTATTGGCTAACTTCATAATTTTGTTTTTGAAGGAGTGCGGAGGGCAGCAGTCCAGAAAGCCTCGGCAGTTCAGGATTTTCCGCCGTGAAATCGAATGGTGGATGGGTGGCGGCGGAGGTGTGCGTTGATGAAGAATCTGCACCTGCTCAGCAGCTTACGGTGGTCGCGTTTGTTTCTGGATTCGATGAGCTGGACCTCAAGGTGATTCGCCGATCTCTCTCTCTCTCTCTCTCTCGCTTCAGTATTTGCATTTTTTTTTTTTTCAGAATCCAAATCTGATGTTTATTGTGTTATTGAGCTGCGCTTGAAGCTCTGCTATGAGACTTCGACAGTTGTTTGTTGCCTGAGCTGCACGAGATTCAGGACTTGTTTTTACGATTCTTTTCAGCTTGGAATATATAGTGGTAATCTGATCGCTCATCTAGTAGCTTTTCTGATAATCTGTACAGTAACCAATTTGTGAAATCAGATCGTGTTTCCTTTTCTGTGGATTTGATTGATCATATGTTTACTCAGTATTTGATTTATTTTCTATTTACTTAAATGGTGAAGCTATGATTGAAATTTTTGTTAACTAATTGTTGCTAATCAACATGCATAAGCACTCTGTTTCTGAAATCAGATAACTAATAATCTCCCTTCCTCTGTGTATTTTGTCGACTTTGTTGAGCTGATGTGATTGCTGGTTGTTCAGTTCAGTACTCCTTTTCCTTCAACATTTTTGTGCATGTAGATGTTCTCACTTTTTGCTGTGAGTTGAATCTTGTATCATGTGGAGTTTCTGTTTTATTTTTCCCTCTTATGTGTTTTGTTTTCTTTTGCCCCTTGAGTTTTTTCAGCTTAAATTGACTAGCCATTATCCATTAGTTTCCGGTTTGCTTATATATACAGAACAAACAAATCGATATTGCACCACCAGTCTCTCTTAGTTTGTGAAATTCCCTGTAATAGTGTTGGAAAATATGCCTTACAAATCAATTTCCAGGTTATGCTAATATCTTGCCCACATGAAAATGCAGTCTGTTTGTGGAGTTTTCTAAAAAAAAAAAAAATCGAATAAAATTCTTCATGAAATCAATGTGTTAATATTACATGATTCCAAGTTCATATATTCCTCTACCAAAGCATCAGTCTAGACTCTAAAGTCCAACTTCATCTCCTTCATGAATGATGACATCACTCTCTTGTGTACCCAGATTGTGCGAAAAAAACGCTCAAAGACAATCTGCATTTCAGACGGCAAGAAACTGAAGTCCAGTGAGGATGGACCCACATCTCCTCCCCCATCGTCTGAGAGTGTTTCTGGAATAACCACTGTTGAGGCCTCCTGCATGTCCAGCTCTTCTAGTTCCCAAAGCTTTTGCAGTCAAAGTAATGCTGATGATAAACCAAGGAGATCAGTCATTGCAGGGCATCTGGGCCGGACAGCTGCTGCCATTCTCGGGGTTCTGTCCAAAGAGAGTGCTTCTGAGGTTAAGATTCGTCATTTGATTGGTGATAGTCCTTCCACAAGCAAAGCCCTGAGGATGTAAGTACAATCAAGAACATCCCCTTTTATGTCTCGAGTTATTACAGATTTTATTCACATTAGGGTAAAGTGTGGTAATTACATATGCTTTTAGGTAATTTGTATAATTAAGATGCATGGATGCCAGCATGTGCATGACTACTTTAGGAGAAGAAAGCCAAGACAGACATAGAATTCTGTAACGTTCAACATCTCGTCTTTTTGGCTCCCTTTAATCCTCTCCCGTCTATGATAGCAGCATATTTTTCATCGTCTACTGCTGAAACTCTGAAGATTCAGGCTGATTTTCTTTGGGGTAGAGCAATGTAATTGTGAAAATTGAGCGAGTTATAAATGATTCTGTGTTAAGTTTGTAAGAACCTGTTCTGGAGCACGTGTGTACGTTAGCTTATTCTGAATTGGGAATATGTTTAATGCAGCAAGTACATTGTTGAATCTCGTTTTGTTAGACAGTGAGTTGTGTTTTTCCTGGGCTGAATTCATTATTGGCCTAACATTTATTGTTTGGAGTTATAGTACTGAACAAAATATTGATAATGATTGCAGGTTGCTTAAGCTACAGGAGGTGAAGCGATATGGAGCTGGAGGACGTACCGACCCTTATATTTACACGGTAAAATTGCTATAGTTCAACATTAATCCTGCAAACATCAATGAAACTAAAAGAACTAGAAAGCATTATATTTAACATTAATAAAGTTTATATATGCATATATAAAAGCTGGTTTATCTAAGTTTTAACTTATGCCTTCATGATAATATAAGCATTACTGGTCTTTTACATTGATGTCTTTTTGCAGAGAGCAAATTAAGTTACTTGACTGGACCTACACACTAATAGATTCAGTCCCAGGTTAGTAAGGAAAAACTTGGGCCTGCCAATTTATGTCAACAAATCGAGCATAACTATCAGTAAATTCCAAATTTTTACGTTATTTTATACACACACACACACACACATATATATATATATATATATCGGTTATAGTTTATGCATAGAAGTAAAGAGTTTGCAGTATGGGTACTTTGATTACTCGTAATTGTGGAATTGATGTTTTGATATCAGAATACTTGTAAACTTGGCGAATAGTGATTAGCTCGAAAAGCTGCTTGTATCAATGGACATAATTACATAAAGATATTATTAATACAGGCTACTGTACTATCTTGTTGCTGTATAATTAGAAACTTCTCCGTGTTTCTTGTGTAATTAATTGCTCCAAGCATAAGGGCCAAAAGCTTCCAAAAAAAACCAAGAACAACCAGAACACAAACTTCTTAGAATTCCAATCAACTTATTCATTCCCTTTAAAACAATTTCAAAACGTGGAAATCCCTAATGAAAACCAGGGGTCATTTTGAATTTTTTTTTTTTTTCGTTTTCTTTTCCAAGTGAACTAAGCAACTGGAACAACCTTAACATCATCCAAAACAGGTCCACACATGTGCCCGTAATCTTGCAGTTTGGTATGATAAAACGGGGTGTAGAATGTGATCCTAGTTCTAGCTGAAACCGCCTGAAACCTCATAGTCACTGTCTTGAACCACCCTTTTCCTTGGGATGTAAATGGGACTTTCAAACTCTTGGTACCAGCAAAGGCTTCAACAGTCATCGTCCCATGACATCCATTCTTAGCATCCCCAATCGTGAACGACAGGTTGTACCACTTATTCGGCTGTGTCCTGATGATTTGTGCTATGGCTGTCTCTCGACCACCCACTAACTCAACTGCCGCCATTCCCGAAGGCACGTTGAAGTGTTTGGAATCGATGTATTTGACTGGCTTGAGGTACTCGACTATCCACCCAGGGATGGGTGAGTACAGGTCCTGGCGTTTGGGGAGGACGAGGATGCCAGTTGAGAAGTTTTTGAACACGTGGGGCCCATTCTCAAAGCCCCCATTTTTCACCAAGTTCCCTGTAAAAAATGGTCGGTAAGTAGCATATAATATACACTCTCGTTTCGTATGGGGGGCCTTACCTTACCATCTGAAAGTTTTAGTGCAGTATAATATGAATGGCTTATATAGCAGTCACATATGGAATTTAAGGTCCTAGTCTAGACTAAGAATTAACTTGTTGACTGATGAACAATAGATTTTCAGATGTATGTTTAAGAATTAACTGACAGGGCCTTCATTACTGCTATGCATCTATGGAGTGTAGCAAACACTAATAATTTTTTTTAAGACACCTCAAACTTTTAATGGAGAATATAAAGTGTAACGATTCAATTCTCCCATCAATCAAACCTGTAGTTTCAAGGTGTTTCATAATAGACTTTCATAAAGTATCTACTATTTTTACTCACAAAAGATTGAGCCTTAACTAACCTCTTGTGTATCTGAGGGGCAGCATCTCCTTGATCGCGATCGCGTCCAATAAGGGCCCGCACGTGGGGTCCTCCTGCGTCCCGGGATTGTGGAACGTGACATTGACCACGCTCGATCGTGCCCTAAAGCTCCACGCGTACGTGTCCCCACCATCCGTGCTGTACAACGTTTGTATCGGGAGGTCGCTCGACATCCCGGGAACCGACACCCTGAGCACCTCGTCCTGCGCACACGTGCGCGTGGCTCCGAAGGTCAGGGTGTAGACGGAGCCCGGCTTCAGGTCCCGCACGTACTGCGACACGGAGGCCTCGTTCCCGAGCCTCACCGCGTGGGCCCCACGCGGGATGCTTAAGTAGAACCCGCCAGGCTGGGGCCCGCCCGACACGTACTCCACGATGCCACTGGTTTCCCACTTGGGGAGGGCGTGTGTCCCGACGATCCTCCTTTTCCGGAGGTCGGCAGGCTTGGGCCCCTCTTCGAAGTTGCCGTTGTCGAGCATTCCTTAAGGAAAACGAAAGATCGACGTGAGCATGGCATCAGCATGAGTATCAGGTATGTATGTTTGGTAAATCTAGCTGAAAACCTAGGTTATAGTTGATAGCTGATGGCTGAAAAAACTAGCTGATGATGAGTCAGTTGAAATGAAATCTTCAAATGGCTTTTTTAGAAAAACTACTCAATGAAGCGTATGAGATAAAATCGCGAACAAATACAAAAGACTTATGAATAAACTAAATAAGCTATGAATTAGTTTATGATGGTTACCAAACACACTAAGTATAAACTATAAAGTATGAACAATGAACATGAATATGGTACGTTCACAAAATATAGTGTTAGCTGTTAAATGAGATCATAAATGAACAAATGATTGCTAAAAAAAAACTTACGGTCAAGTGGGACTGCAGTAGAAGCTAAGCTGTTGCTTAAGATGATGAATGCGATAAATAGCAAAGGAAAATTGGGACAAGCCATTGAATGATTAGCAGATAATTAATTGTAACTGTAGAAATGAGGTGTGTGTGAGTGTGCATATATAGTAGGAGGATGTTGAAGTTTTCTTACGAGGTTGCTGGGTATTTGAAAAAATTGGAACAGAGTCATGTTAGATTGCCACCAAATTAGCCGTGATTTGTGTAGAGGTGTCCCATTTTGTTTTTATATAAATGTCGAAAAACCAATGGGTTTCTTGATCCCACACGATTTCAGACTCGTTTGTGTAGACTTCCATGGATTTCCGTCATTTGCCAGGTTGATTTGTTTGATTTTTGTTTTCATCCGGACTTTTTGCTCTTGTTTGGTGTGGTAAATGCAGTAATTTAGTTTTGTGGTTTGTCATAAGAAAAATTGTAGTTGTGATTTTATTTTCAAATAAGAGGGACAAAAACTCAAAAATTGGCTAATTGAGATAAAGGATATTCTGTAAACGAGGAGTTTCCACATTCATATGCTGATCAGTTAATATGTAATAATATTACATGTTTACATTTTATCTTTATTTGTAATTTTACCATTGTATCCTTAGTATTATTGTAATAGCAAACTTATACCAAAGTTGCTATAGGTGTTTAACAATTTCAGTTGTAATGCCCTTAGTATAAATAGGACACTTGAGACTATTTGGAACCCTAATTCATTTTTATCAATTATCAGATTCTCTCCGCCTCTTCTTCTTTTCTCTTTGTTTTCTTCTTCTTTTCTCATCACATGAATGCTCGATCTATGTTCTGATATGGTATCAATCGCCGAAAAGATCCTCTGTTTTTTGCTTCCGCACGCTGTGTTTTGATCTCCATCTCTGAGATCGCCTATTTTTTTTTCTCTCTCTCGATTACTTGTTCGGGTTTTTCAGATCTGAAACCCTACCTTTAGATCTACTATTCCTTATCCATCTATTGATCGATATGACTACTCCGGCAAATCCTTCTGACGATCCTACATCTGCCTATTACCTTCACGCCAGCGACAATCCCGGCGCTCTCATCGTCGCCGATCCGTTTACCGGTGACAACTACACATCCTGGAGCCGTGCTGTTGTGATGGCCTTGAGCGTGAAGAACAAGGCCGGCTTCATTGACGGCACAATCGCTGCTCCCGCGCAAACTGGTAACCCTAACCTTCAACTTGCTTGGATGCGAGCGAACAACCTTGTTCTCTCTTGGTTATTAAATTCAATTTCGAAAGATATTCGACAGTCATTACTCTTTTTCACAACTGCAAAGGATGTTTGGGATGAACTTCGATCTCGTTATGCTGTTAGTAGTGGTCCTAGGGTTTTTCAGTTGGAAAAGTCTTTAAGCAATATTGAACAAGGTTCTATGACTATTACGCAGTATTATAATTCCTTTAAGTCTCTATGGGATGAGTACATTACTTACCGCCCCCTGTTTAAGTGTAACTGTGGAGCTTTTCTTCAATGTACATGTGATTTGTTTGATGCAATGGCTGTGGCACAACAATCTGATTCTGTCATGAAATTTTTGGTTGGCTTGCATGATTCATATTCTTCTTTGAGAAGTCATTTCCTGTTATCTCGACCTTTACCTTCCCTGTCTACTGTATACTCTTTACTCCTTCAAGAGGAAAGCCAGCGTTTACTCACTAACACATCCAAACCTATTGATACCCTTGCTATGCTGGCCAAAACAAAACCTCCTAATCCAAAATTTTCATACTCTAAACCACCAAACACCAAACCTCAACACTCTCACAACCAAAATACCAATCCCAATTTCAGAGATAAACCAAGACCTAAATGTTCCCATTGTGGTTATTCAAACCATTCCTCTGACCGTTGTTATCAAGTCATTGGATATCCTCCTCATTGGGAAGGTCCAAGAGGTCCCAGAGTCCATCCAAATCACTCTGTCCATGCTGCCATTGCTGATAACACAATCACATCACACACCACTCCACCTAATGATACTGATTCCCTTACTAACAGTTTGTTTCATGAGTTTTTAGCCTTTAAGAAATCTCAGGAAGATAACTCAAACCAAAGGAATGTGTCTCACAATCCTATGGTTGCTACTGCTTATCCTGAGGTGCCAGGTACTTTTCCTTCTTATTCTTGTGCAACTGGTACACATTTATCTAAACATGCTTGGATTCTAGACACAGGTGCTACTGACCACATGCTATGTGATTTATCTTTCTTTAACAATGCACCAACATCTATTTCCATTCATGTTAATTTACCAAATGGTTCATTTACCACTGCCACTCATAAGGGCAATATCACTTTATCTGATCATCTCACCTTATATGATGCATTATATGTTCCTGCTTTCCAATTCAATCTCATTTCTGTTTCTAAATTGGTAGCAACAAATAACTGCATCATACAATTCTTGTCTTCTGGTTGTACTTTACAGGACAACATAACACATCAAATGATTGGTTCTGCTGATGTCAAAGATGGCTTGTATCACTTGTCTTTAAACAATTTTTTCAAATTTTCTTCTAACAATGTACAAAGTGTTGCAAACACTTCCCTTGTTGATAATATTGCAAGTGATATATCTGTAAAAGTTGCTTCTTCAACAATTGATTCCTCTGCATTATGGCATTACAGAATGGGTCATCTGTCTTTCAATAAACTCTCATTACTTCCTGTATGCAAAACATCACATAAACATATTAGTTCTTTGCCCTGTGATGTTTGTCACTTTTCAAGACAAAAGAGACTTTCATTTCCTCACAGTGTTTCTATCTCTGACAAACCTTTTGACTTAATTCACTGTGATGTATGGGGTCCCTTTTCCATACCTTCCCTTTCTGGTTTCAAATATTTTTTGACTATAGTTGATGACTATAGCAGAACTACTTGGGTTTACCCTCTAGTGCACAAATCTGATACAAAACAGCACCTCATCCATTTTCATAACATGGTGCTGACTCAATTTCATACCAAAATCAAAGTACTAAGATCAGATAATGGCACTGAGTTTTTTCTAAAAGAATTTTATTCAAATAATGGTATTTTACACCAAACCAGTTGTGTAGAAACCCCACAACAGAATGGAAGAGTTGAAAGGAAACACCAACATTTACTTCAAGTTGCTAGGGCTTTATTATTTCATGCCTCTTTACCTTTATGTTTCTGGATTGATTGTGTTTTAGCTGCTGTGCACCTAATAAATAGAGCACCATCTTCTGTCTTACACAATAAATCTCCCTTTGAAATGTTGTTCAACAAACAACCTACATATGATCATCTCAGAGTTATTGGTTGTTTATGCTATGCTTCTACATTAACATCTCATAGATCCAAGTTTGATGCTAGAGCTTCTAAATGCATACTTCTTGGATATCCCCTTGGTTGTAAAGGCTATACTCTTTACAACTTGGATACCAAGAAAACAATAATTTCCAGAAATGTACAATTTTATGAAAATGTTTTTCCCTTCAAAGATCCTTTAACTACAACAACCAATTTTGATCCCTTATTCCCTGAACCAACTCCTTTCTGTCATTCCCCAAACCATAATGCTACTATTTCACAACCTATTATACAGTCTGGATCCCACACCAACCCTATCACCTTTACTGCACCCACACCAACCCCTATGCCAAACCTACCTGTACAAACACAACCAACATCACATATTCAACCCACAACATCACATATTCAACCCACTGACCCACAAAGGAAATCAACAAGACAAAGAAAACCACCTGCCTACTTACAGTTATATGACCATAATATACCATCTTCTAATTCTGCTTCCTCACATCTTCATAATTGTACATCTGGGACATCTCCATATCCCATTTCAAACTACCTTTCAACTAATGCTCTCTCAGCATCAAATAACTGTTTTACTGCTTCAATATCTTGCATTACTGAACCTAAAACATACAATCAAGCAGCCAAAGATCCTTTATGGATTGAAGCTATGCAAAAAGAACTGACAGCTTTAGAACAAACCAATACATGGATTTTAACTGATTTGCCAAAAGATAAACATTGTATTGGTTGTAAATGGGTTTTTAAAATAAAATATAAATCAGATGGTTCTATTGAAAGGTATAAGGCTAGGCTAGTAGCCAAAGGCTACACTCAAGAAGAAGGCATTGATTACTTTGATACCTTCTCACCTGTTGCCAAAATTACCACTGTCAGATTCTTAGTTGCATTAGCCTCTATCAAAAACTGGCACATCCATCAATTAGATGTCAACAATGCATTTCTTCATGGGGATCTCCATGAAGAAGTTTACATGCTGCCACCTCCTGGCTATTGTGCTGCCTCTGAAACAAAAGTTTGTAAGTTAACAAAAAGTCTTTATGGCCTTAAGCAAGCCTCAAGACAGTGGTTTCAAAAGCTTACAAACTGTTTACTATCCTATGGCTTCTCTCAATCTTTAGCTGATTGCTCTTTGTTTACTAAATCAGAGAATTCAGATTTCATTGCTTTACTGGTTTATGTTGATGATGTAATTGTTTGTGGTAACAACATTGAACAAATAAATGCCATCAAAAACCATTTGCATGCATGTTTCACTATTAAAGATCTGGGTACACTTAAGTATATCCTGGGATTAGAGTTTGCACATTCAGACAAGGGCATTAATATGTGTCAAAGGAAATATGCCCTTGACATCCTTCTGACACTGGTTTTTTAGCATGCAAACCTGCTACCACTCCCATGGATCCTACTGTTAAATTCACTTCCCATGATTCTGTTACATTAAGTGATTGTTCTGAGTATAGAAGACTCATTGGCAGACTATTATATTTAACTATATCCAGACCTGATATTGCTTATAGTGTCCAATGCCTTAGTCAATTTATGAGCAAACCTTCAACTTCACATATGGCAGCAGCTCATAGGATACTCAGGTATGTCAAGGGTACAGTTGGCCAAGGTGTTCTCTTTCCCAGATCTTCTTCACTTCAGTTAACTGCTTTCAGTGATAGTGATTGGGCTTCATGTGTAGATACTAGAAGAAGTTTAACTGGTTTTACTGTTTTTCTTGGTGATTCTCTTATTTCATGGAAATCCAAAAAGCAACCTACTATTAGTAGATCATCTGCAGAAGCAGAGTATAGGGCTTTAGCTTCCACTTCTTGTGAAATCCAATGGCTCTTATACTTGCTTAATGATTTTCATATACCACACTCAGCTCCAGTTATTGTCTTTACAGATAGCAAATCTGCAATGGCAATGGCTGCAAATCCAGTTTTCCATGAGAGGTCCAAGCACATTGAACTTGATTGCCACCTGATTAGAGAGA